GGGGCACCCTCTGTATATTTGAGGAAGCTAACAAGTCAAAAAAAAAATTCCTGTTATAATAAAATGAATATAACCTAAACTAAAGTTATTCCTTCCAGGTAATTAGTACAGGTCCCCAAAATGAAAGTGGGAGGATTTTAAACCCTTTAATCTGGAAAACAAATAAGATTTGACATTTTTATACCAGGAAGAAAATTAATTCATAGATACAACAGTTGAGTTAAAAGGTTTTTTTTTTAAAGAAGACTGATTTATTGCATTGCTAAGATCCTCAGAGAAGAAACCAAAACTTTTTATGATTTCATGTTATCTCCTTTGTTGGCTCATTAGCTGTAACTCTTCGTTTTATTTTAGTGATTGCCTTAGGGTTATAGCAGGTGATAATACCACTTGACATAAAGTTTAAATATATAGATAAGAACCTTGTAATAGTAGACTTCTATTTCTCTCCTCATGTTTGTGCTGTTGTGGCCTCACATTTTCCTTCTACATGTATTATAAGCTCCACACTTTATTGCTATTATTTTTGCTTAAACAGTCAATTCTCTTTTAAAGGGATTTAAATAGAAATATCCTAATTAAGAAACAGAGATGGTCAGATTGGATAAAAAACAATACCCAACTATATGCTGTGAACAAGGAACTCATAAAAATGAAGGACAAACAGATTAAATGTAAAAGAATGGAAAAAGATACACCATACTAATACTAATCAAAAGAAAGTTGGAGTGGCTAAATTATTAATATCAGACAAAGATTGCAGAGTAAAGAATATTACTAGGGATAAAGATAGTTTCATAATCTTAAAAGGATCAGTTCAGCAAGACGACTTAATAGTTCTACGTGCTTGTCCAACTAATCTTAGATTCAAAAATACACGAAGCAAAAACTGATAGAACTGAGATGGGAGAGGGGGATTGTTTCTTTTGACGGGTGAAAAGGATAACTATTGCATTGTTCTGTACACCTGAAACTAATAAAAAATCAATTAAAAAACAAAACTGTTAGAACTATAAGGAGAAATAGACAAATTTACCATTATAGTCAGAGATTTGAATACCCCTCTGTCCATGTTTGATAGAACAAGAAAACATAAAATCACTTAGAATATAGAAGACTTGAACAAGACTATCAACCAACTCGATGTAAGTGACGTTTATAGAACACAGGAGTACCCAACAACAATAGATTACACATTCTTTTCAAGAGCACAAGAAACATGTTCCAAGATAGACCGTATTCTGAACCATAAAACGTCTTGATAAACATAAAAGCGTTCAAGTCATACAAAGCATATTCTTTGATCACATGGAGCTAAATTAGAAACCAATAACAGGTATCTTGGGAAACCTCATATAGTTGAAAACTAAATAGCACTTTTAAAAGATTAGATAATTTCTAAACTGTGTTTGGGGGATAAGAGGAAATGAATTAGCAGAAAGGGAGGTATCAGTATTTCGGAATGATTTTTATGAGTGGAACTCATTCTGCCTTTGATGTCTCCCTCCCTCCGACAGCCCATTCTCCACATGGATAACACCATGATCCTTCTAAAATTAATGATTAAGGATCACTTCAGTTCAATGGCTCTATATCATTTACAAAATTAAATCCAAAATCTTTTGCAACACAGCTTGTGTTCATTCGTCTAACCTCACTTCTCACTTCTCACTACCTGGTACATTCTTCTTTTGTTGCATCCATAACGCAGTTCCTTTGTTTGTCTATGTCTCCACCACTAGGCTCTAGAACAAGATCCGTGTCTTTTACACTTTTGTATCTCAGTGCCTAGCATGATGCTGGGCACAGGGCAAAAACTGAATGAATATAATTAGTATATTAAATGTTATTTTCTTTATCCTCTCCAAAAAGAATCAGTTCCTGCAAATTAAAGAAATTACTTCCTTTCATCAGGAACTTCCCCTCCCCACCTCCTCCCCCCCCCCCAGAAAGTTCTTCATTAAAATTGAGCTTATGCACAACCTAATTCTAAAATTTCAAAGACCTTAAGGCAGTGATTTTCAATCTTTTCCAAATAGTAACATCTTATCATTTCCTGTTTCTGCATTTGTACCTCACAATCATGTCTTGCTGAAATGTTCTGTTTAAATTAATAGCTTCATAAATTGCTAAGCAATTTTCATCAGACCAATTAGGACAGTGTTAAGTATCCATCTGTGGAGTGCGGACATTTAAGAAATCCGATCCCGTATGGAGAAAACCATTCCTGAGCTCAGAGTTGGCTCCAAACTGGCAACTTCTGGCACTCACTTGTGGGTGCGGAATGTGGAATGCTTTGAAAGCTGAATGGATTTGTCAAGTTTTAAAATACCCTTATGGCTAAAGGAAAACAACATTCATTGTTTCAAAACACCATTGTTTGTTTTTTCTGCTTTTCTGTTCTTTGGAGCCCGAATCCGCAAAAACATTCACACCCAGGATTTTGCTTCATGTACCTCCTTTACTACGTTTCTGGAAATGTGTGGTATGGAAACCTTTTTGTTTATTTTTTTTATTTTAATGATTGTTCAGAATGTTCAGAACAAATTGAAAAAGTCCATTTTAATGCTTTTACTGATTTCTATGGAGGAGCATATTTCTGTCATTATAGGCAGATAGTAGAGTTGATAAGAGTATGGGTCCTGGAGTCAGATTTCCAAGGCTCAAATCCCTGTTTTTTACTTCTCAGTTGTGTGACCTTGGACAAGGTATTCAGCCTCTCTGTGCTGTCTCAATAGTCTCGTCTATTAAACAGGAATAGAATAGACCCACATCACAGGGTTGTGTGAAGAATACGTGGGTTATTACATGCAGAATGCTTGGAAGGGTAACTCACAGAATAAGTGAACAATAAAATTTAGTTGTTAATATTTTAGGCCGTTAAAATTTAGGCCGTTAATATTTTGTCATTATCATCATGAAGCAACTAATTGTTAAACCACAACAATTCTACAGTCATGACTCTAGGTGATACTCCCTCAGTAGCAAAATTATTTTATTTGAATGCATACCTCCCTCATTGCTCATAGCAGACAGCATTGCTTTAGGAGAAGGTCATTCTAGGGCCTGAGCGAGAGCGCCTTGCGAGGTATTATCCAGAGGCTGCATCCTGTTTCCCAAATCTGTCCACTCTGTGTCCACGGCCACTGGTAGGGCCTCATCATCTATCATCCAGACTAAG